AAGGTTAATGACTTGTACAGTACAGTACAGTAGTCCCTCGCTACTTCGCTGTTTTTCAAAATAAGATTGAACATAACACACATTTGGCATGGAATTTTTATTTAAAATTAATTATTTTAAATGACCTAACACCTGCTGCACCTCTGTGCAGTCCAAACTGCAGGAGAAGCTTCCTCCTGCAGCTGATCAGCTGATCTCCAGTCTGCCATGTAGAAGTGGGCGTGGCCAAGAGCGATTGCAGGTGGCTGAGAGCAGTGGAGGCCGGGAGCTGAAATTATGACATTCTGTGCTCTTTCAGAGCATTTTAGAAACATTGTTTAGAATATTGTAAGAGTGTGGGAAGGGCTTAAAATGCCTTTATGTATATATATATACATATATATATATATATACATACATACATACATACAAATACTAAAACAAACTATTACTTACTAGTGCTTTAACAGACTACTCGAGTAATCGACACATCGATTCCTAGGACATCTCGCGAGTTTTTCAATTTCATGTAGAGTATTCGCATTTACGTCATTATGTCACAGTTATGTCTTTATGTTGCAGTTACATCATTGCGTCACGTGTCACTTGTGTCATGCACTGTTGCAGGTCACAGAATATGGTGTGACACCGGGTCCAATCGACCAAACCAGAACCAGCTTCCTTCTGACCTTGTTTCACAAACAAAAAGCAAAAAATATTAAACTCTAAACCTACAAACCAGATTCCAAAAAAGTTGGGACACTAAACAAATTGTGAATAAAAACTGAATGCAATGATATGGAGGTGCCAACATCTAATCTTTTATTCAGAATAGAACACAAATCACAGATCAAAAGTTTAAACTGAGAGAATGTATCATTTCAAGGGAAAAATCTGTTGTTTCCAAATTTCATGGCGTCAACAAATCCCAAAAAAGTTGGGACAAGTCCATTTTTACCACTGTGTGGCATCCCCCCTTCTTCTTACAACACTCAACAGATGTCTGGGGACAGAGGAGACCAGTTTCTCAAGTTTAGAAATAGGAATGCTCTCCCATTCATGTCTAATACAGGCCTCTAACTGTTCAATTGTCTTGGGCCTTCTTTGTCGCACCTTCATCTTTATGATGCGCCAAATGTTCTCTATAGGTGAAAGATCTGGACTGAAGGCTGGCCATTTCAGTACCAGGACCCTTCTCCTACGTAGCCATGATGTTGTGATTGCTGCAGAATGTGGTCTGGCATTATCGTGTTGAAAAATGCAGGGTCTTCCTTGAAAGAGATGACGTCTAGATGGGAGCATACAGTGAGAAAAATAAGTATATGAACACCCTGCGACTTTGCAAGTTCTCCCGCTTAGAAATCATGGAGGGGTCTGAAATTTTCATCTTAGGTGCATGTCCACTGTGAGAGACATAATCTAAATGAAAAAATCCAGAAATCACTTTGTATGATTTTTTTAACAATTTATTTGTGTGTTACTGCTGCAAATAAGTATTTGAACACCTGTGAAAATCAATGTTAATATCTGGTACAGTAGTCTTTGTTTGCAGTTACAGAGGTCAAATGTTTCCTGGAGTTTTTCACCAGGTTTACTGCAGCAGAATTCTGGACCATTCCTCCACAGATCTTCTCTAGATCAGCAGGTGTCTGGGCTGTCTCTGAGAAACAGAGTTTGAGCTCCCTCCAAAGTTTTTGTATAGGGTTTAGGTCTGGAGACTTGCTAGCCACTCCAGAACCTTGATCTGCTTCTTACGGAGCCACTCCTTGGTTCTCCTGGCTGTGTGCTTCAGGTCATTGTCATGTTGGAAGACCCAGCCACAACCCATTTTCAATGCTCTAACTGAGGGAAGGCGGTTGTTCCCCAGAATCTCTCAGTACATGGCCCCGGTCATCCTCTCCTTAATACAGTGCAGTCGTCCTGTCCCATGTGCAGAAACACACCCCCAAAGCATGATGATTCCACCCCCATGCTTCACAGTAGGGATGGTGTTTTGGGATGGTACTCATCATTCTTCGTCCTCCAAACACGGCGAGTGGAATTAGGACCAAAAAGTTTTATTTTGGTCTCATGTGACCACATAACTTTCTCCCATGACTCCTTTGGATCATCCAAATGGTCATGGACAAACTTAAGACGGGCCTGGACGTGTGCTGATTTAAGCAGGGGAACCTTCCGTGCCATGCATAATTTTAAACTATGAAGTCTTAGTGTATTACCCACAGTAACCATGGAAACAGTGGTGCCAGCTCTCTTCAGGTCATTGACCAGCTCCTCCCATGTAGTTCTGGGCTGATTCTTCACCTTTCTTAGGATCATTGATACGCCACGAGGTGAGATCTTGCATGGAGCCCCAGTCCGAGGGAGATTGAGAGTCATGTTTAGTTTCTTCCATTTTCTAAAAATTGCTCCAACAGTGGATCTTTTTTTACCAAGCTACTTGGCAATTGCACTGTAGCCCTTTCTAGCCTTGTGGAGGTCTACAATTTTGTCTCTGGTGTCTTTGGACAGATCTTTGGTCTTAGCCATGTTAGTAGTTGGAGTCTTACTGATTGTGTGGGGTGGACAGGAGTCTTTATGCAGCTAACAACCTAAAACAGGTGCTTCTAATTACAATAATAAGTGGAGTGGAGGTGGACTTCTCAGAGGCGGACTAACAGGTCTTTGAGGACCAGAATTGTCGCTGATTGGCAGGTGTTGAAATACTTATTTGCAGCAGTAACACACAAATAAATTATTTAAAAAATCATACATTATGATTTACGGATTTTTTATTTAGATTATGTCTCTCACAGTGGACATGCACCTAAGATGAAAATTTCAGACCCCTCCATGATTTCTAAGCGGGAGAACTTGCAAAGTCGCAGGGTGTTCATATACTTATTTTCCTCACTGTATGTTGTTCTAGAACCTGAACATAGTTCTCTGCATTAATGGTGCCTTTCCAGACATGCAAGCTGCCCATGCCACAAGCGCTCATGCAACCCCACACGATACCATCAGTGATGCAGGCTTCTGAACGGAGCATTGATAACAACTTGGGCTAACCTTGTCCTCTCTGGTCCGAATGACATGGTATCTCAGTGTTCCATAAAGAACTTAAAATCGTGACTCATCTGACCACAGAACAGTCTTCCATTTTGCCACACTCCATTTTAAATAACCCCTGGCCCAGTGCAAACGTCTGAGCTTGTGGAGCTTACTTAGAAATGGCTTCCTCTTTGCACTGTAGAGTTTCAGCTGGGAACGGCAGATGGCACGGTGGATTGTGTTCACTGACAATGCTTTCTGGAAGTATTCCATGAGCCCATTCTGTTATTTCCTTGACAGTGGCATTCCTGTTTGAGGTGCAGTGACGTTGAAGGGCCCAGAGATCACGAGCATCCAGTAGTTTTACGGCCTTGACCCTTACGCACAGCGATTCTTCAGGATTCTCTGAATCTTTTGATGCTATTATGCATGGTTGATGATGATAACTTAAAAGTCTTTGCTATTTTATGCTGGGTAACACCATTCTGGTATTGCTGTACTATCTTTCTGCGCAATAATGGTGGAATTGGTGATCCTCTTACCATCTTGGCTTCTGAGAGACACTGACACTCTGAGAAGCTTTTTATACCCAATCATGTTGTCAATTGACCTAATTAGTGTTAATTGGTCTTCCAGCTGTTCGTTATATGTTCAATTTCCTTTTTCCCGCCACTTATTGCTACTTGTCCCAACTTTTTTGGGATTTGTTGACACTGTGAAATTTTGAATCAACATATTTTTCCTTTAAAATGTTACATTTACTCAGATTAAACTTTTGATCTGTCATCTATGTTATATTATGAATAAAATATTGACATTTGCCATCTCCACATCATTGCATTCAGTTTTTATTCACAATTTGTTTAGTGTCCCAACTTTTTTGGAATCCGGTTTGTATAAAAAAACTATAAACCTATAAACATATTAATCTCTAAAACTAAACCTAATGCGCAACACTGCGAGCATGTGTTTTTTGTGTTTGCATGTGTGCTTTTTTTAGTTTGCATTTGATTTTTTTGTGTTTGCATTTGTTTTTTGTGTTTGCGTTTGTTTTTTTGTTTGCATGTTTTTTGTGTTTGCATGTGTTTTTTGTTTGTGTTTGCATTAGATTTTTTGTGTTTGTTTATTGTGTTTGCACTTTTTTGAGTGTTTGTATGTTTTTGAGTTTGCATCATACATGGGTTTGATGCACGTTTCGCCATTTGCTGCGCGTTTGCACCCATCGGCCACCGTGTATAACTTCCAAAACTTGACAAGGTGATCAGCTGACCCTGAAGCTTGTGGTGTTTCAGCTTCCTTTGTTTCTGCAGGAATGATTCTCTGATGCTTTGTCTTTCATCACCTGACTCTGTTCTTGGTCCATGGACTGTGGAACTCAAGAGACAGTTTAGCTGCGCGTGTTTGTACTGGCAGTTTAGAGCGGGGGAGACGCAGCCCGCACCGGCAGCCATAGTGGGGTGGGGAGAAACAGTTGAGCTGTCTGTACCTGCAGTTTAGAGCTGGATGGAGAGGCATTGTTTGTTTTTTAGCTAGCTAGTACTGCACGCAACTAATTAGCGTTACGTCAGTACAGACAGGTGAGGAGGGTGCACAGTTCGGTTTGGTCGTTCGGCGCGCTCGGTTTTGTTAATGGGGTGGGGCGCCCTGACATATTACGTCTTGAAATTAGCATATCATGATATCATTTATTTGTCCGGGCAAGCTTTTTTTTACCGGTATTATCGTGAACGATATGATATGACCCAGCCCTAGTGGGTCATGAGATATTTTGCTAACGATAGAAACAAATGTGTGTGCACACAAATGCAAACATGATTAGATTGCTCTGCCTTTGCCTCTGGTGAAAATTATATATAAAAAAAAGCTAAACTATTCCTGTTTGAATTGTATTTTATGTAGATGTATCACTCTGTATAATTACTATATTGTCCTTTAAGTTTTAAATTTGCTACTGTATGTTGTTGAAGTACTGTTAACTCATGAGCTCTGACCTTTATCAGCTCCAAGTTGCCCTCCTTTTTTGGAGGAACTCCTCTGTTCATAGGGTAGCCCATCCTTACAGGAAGAGGGACTGCGTGTGCCTTGAAGACAGCTGCTGCTGGGTAAACAGCAGTCCAGTCCTGATCAACGGACATCTTCTCTGTCCTAGGCTCTCCTGACTAATGAAACATGCACACAAGGTAACAATTACAGAGCAGCACAAGTATTGTTCTTGTCTTCTTTTAAAAAGTGTTGTAATGGTTCTAACAAAGAAACAAACAAAAAAAGCTCACGTCTCTTTTGGGTCTTCTGACAGCAGGCTCTCTGCCACCTCTATCCGGTACACCTAAAACAGTTTTACACATACTTTTTATTCACGTAAAATGTTGTGATAAAATAGAGCTATTCAAGCTGCAACAGTGTGTTGATGTCTTGAATAAACACTTTCAAATACAGTTTGTAGTCTCCATACACACTGTATTCAAAGCAATGTGCACATACATGTACATAAATAATTGCTGCACCTCGATGCACAGACACATTTTGTGTTTTTGATTCAACAAATCTTTGAAACTTTCTTAGTGCTCTTAATCCCAGATCCAGAGTCCACCAGCAGAATACACACCAGAGGATACCAGAACCCCCCAACCCACTTCCTGTATGAACAGGACTGAGAATACCTACATTAATTATCTGGAGTAAGAAGTGTTCAACTGCAAATGTAATAATGCACAGTACTTGGAAAAGGATTGGCAGGTGTGAACATGTGTAATGTAAGAACATTTTAACAATGTACATTTTATTTATTTAGATTGTTGTTATTTTTCAACGTAAATGTACAAAATTTAAAGTGAATGAACAGAAATGAAAATCAGATCTATACAAGGTGTGACCAACTTTGGCCTCCTAAACAGCATCATTACTTGCAGGGACATTTGTATGGTCTGGAGACAAAGACATGGAGAGGTACAGCACAGGTTGAACAAGTGGGAGATAAAGTTAGAGAGACCAGACTGAGATGGTTTGGACATGTCCAGCGGAGGGACAGTGGTTTGGACATGTCCAGAGGGACAGTGGTTATATTGGTAGAAGGATGTTAGAAATGCAGCTGCCAAGAAAAAGACAAAGAGGAGATATATGGATGCAGTTAGAGAGCACATGGAGGTAGTTGGAGTGAGAACAGAGATGGAAGACTCGCTGTGTGGAGACCCCTGAAGAGGAAGAATACTTTTTTTTCTTTGGGGGGGTGTTAAATGTAACCAAACATGAACGCTCATCTAACTATTGAACCTTATTTTAATCGTCAGAGGTTTTCAGTAGGTAGACTATGTTGACAGAAAGGACAGTCCTGGGTCGAGCAGTGACCCAGCAGACTGGTTGTAATTCATCATGAGCTGCTTGTTATCGTCGGTCACACTCACCTTTCTTAGCTGCGTAAAAATATGTGGCCAAATCTGTGGCATATGAGGCTCTGCTGGTCGGTTTAAGTCCTAAACTACTAATATGTGTTCGACCTAAGGAAGGAAACACTCTTCTCATGAACGAAGCCATGTTTGAACAGCAACCAAACCACCGAAGCTAGTGAAGGACAAAACGTTCCAATCGCGAAACGCTGAAATTTGCAGCCCGAGAGTGCCTCGTGCGGAGGAAGTTGTCCCAGCTTACGTTGGTGTGTATCATGGACATGTCCGACGTTGAATAGATTTAGTAAAATATGCAATACTTTTATTGGGGGAAAGTTTCACTTGTTTGGTTGCCTTTAACTGACTCGTGCGTTAACTATGACCTGATCTCACGTAGGACCAGCAGCTTTGGCTGAATTCACGCCTGCTAGCTGCTTATCAAACAAGTGGGGCGTTCAATGACCCTTTGTAAAACAGGAATTATTCGTTGTTTAGCCTTGAATCATCCACTGCGGCTGTTACTATCCATTCTGTTAAGAAAGTAGGAATCACGTCAAATCCAAACGTCAGTTTTCATGCTCAGATCAAACCTGACGTTGAGTCTTGTTTCCATGTGTTTTTACTCAGGTAGTCTGAAAGTCTTTCATTCATTTCAAAATGTTCACAGTGCGTCATTCTTCAATAGGAGTATAAATGCACAAAAATATTTTCAACATCTTCTCACATTACCCTATACTGTCTTAATTCCATATTTATTTTAAAACTTTACATCTAACTTTTAAATTTGTAAAAAGCCTTGTCTTTAAATGCATCACAACTTGCTTATTTATTAACCTTTATTTAACCAGGCAAATCCCACTGAGATCACAGATCTCTTTTGCAAGGGAGGCCTGGGCCTGAAGGTAGACTAACATGAATGTTTTTGATCTGTGGGAGGAAACCAGAGTATCCGGAGAAAACCCACGCAAGCACGAGAAGAACATGCAAACTCCACACAGAAAGACCCCAGTTCCAACTGGACTGAACCCAGGACAATACGTAGCATAGCAATACATAAATACCTAGTACGTTCCAGGTGCTACTGGGTATGCACCAGAAACTGTACAGTATTTAGTAGGTATCTTCTTCTATGTACCAGGTAAACACCAGGATATTACCTGATAAGTACCAGGTTTGAACCCTGTATATACCCAGTACTTGCCGGGTACATAACATGTATGTATAGGTATTTCAAGGGTACATATCCAGTATCTATGTAAGGTATCAACTATGCACCAGGTAAGTACCAGGTACCAGTATGTGCTTCATAAGTAAATGGTTTACCCGCCTCTTCCTTGCTGGTTCACAGGGGTCACTGGTGCCCTTATCCAGCAGTTACTGTGCAAGAAGCAGGGGATAACCCTGGACAGGTCTCCAGTCCATCACAGAGACACATAGAGACAAACAAGGCAAACAAAAGATTCACTCTCTTACTCACACAATTTAGAGTTACCAATCAGTCTAACATACATGATTTTGGTCTGTGGGAGGAAACTGGAGTACCCGGAGAAAACCCACGCATGCACGGAGAGAACATGCAAACTCCACCCAGAAAGGCCCCTGGACCGGGGTTTGAACCAGGGACCTGTTCGCTGAGAGGCAGCAGCTCTACTGTTTGCGCCACCGTGCTGCCCAAGAGAGAACCCGTTTATTTAAATATATTGTAGTGGAGGTGCAGCTAACCTAGCCCTTAGTACACTACAATCAAATGTTTGCTAAAAATGTGATCAATTTCATCATGTTTGCATGTTACCTGAAGTGCTGAATCAAATGTTTCATGAATGTTTACCACAAGTTTTTATTAAATGAGAAAACACAACCACTTATGTTATTATTCAACTGTAAAAATATTTCAAATCAATGAGTGTAGCAAATATTTTTTTTTCTCCAATCTACATTTTACATAAATCAGTAGCAGCATGTGCAGGTTTCATTAGCATTAGGTTTACAACCACACTAGAATACATGTTCACTAAAGTGCAGCACACACACAATCTGAAGAAGTGTCATCTCTTCACCATCACATGTAAGCACCAGTATAGGTAAATGGTATATTTCTGTGTAATATTTTTTATTTGTTTCTCATGCAACCAATCACTCTTTCCACATGAATTCTAAGGTGTGCTCGTGTGTGTTCAATATCCTTAGCATCAAGTTCACATCTCCATTTACTGAGTGATGGGATTGAAACCTCAGCACATCGTTCATTTATACTTTTGTTGGATGTAACTGGGACCCTGTGTACACAGTTTCGTTCCACCTTATGTACAACATGCAATGCAAATGCCAATAAAGAACCTTGACTTTGACTCCCACACTGTCTTTAATATCAAAGCCTCTGTCATAACACAACGTCCCCAGGTAATAATCTGGAGAGAAGACCACAGCTTTCTGTTATGAGTTTGTCTGATGCACATCCATCCCTTGGAAAGAAAAGAAAGGCATAGGTATTAGAGTTTTATGTGACACCTTAAAAAGATGCTGAACAGGATGCATTAGTGTTAGTAGAACCATTGAAATTGTGAAGGTTTTTTATGCTGACAGAAAATGCCTAACAGTGTTAAACAATGACAACAAGATGGCAAAGCAATGAAGTCCTGTAAAATATTTAATACTATAAAAATTATTTGTCCAGCTGTTTTTTATTCAGCTCTGGCCTGATCTCCCTGATCTTCTGTAACAGATGGTTTATGTATGTTCTATTTTTGTTCACACATTGTATTTGTACCTGTGCGGTTTTGGTTCTGTCTGTTTCCTCGTGTTTTCAGCACTCAGTGTTTTCCTTTGTGTCTCACCTGTGTCTGTAATCACTGCAGGTGTCTGTCATTTTCCTAATCAGTGTGTGTGTGTGTATTCAGTTCACTGGTGTCTTGTCTTTGTCTCGGGATTATTCTTCCATGGTGTCGTGTTCAGCCTTTTGTCCTGTCAGCCCTGATCTGCCTGTTTCCAGTTTTGTGAGTAGCTGCCCTGTCAGCATTTTGATTTGTTTAATAAATATATTTTTTATTATCCCTCGAGCGTCCTCGTCATCCTCCTGCACGTGGGTTCAAACACTCCTGACGGCCGAACATGACAGAATCCCGAGACCATACTGAACCCAACGGGAGGATGATAACCTTGTTCGAGTTTTTGGCCCGTGAGGTGGATAAAACTGCCCAACGAGACAGAGAAAAGGAGGAGAGGAAAAAATAATCCGTTTTGAGGGACCCGCCTGGCCATTAAACCCGGGTCCTCAGCCTCTCTGTCTCACTCCTCCTCATCTGCTTGTCACGCTGCTGCAACCCGCCGCCCACCTCCTCCTCGTTCTCCTCCTGGCTGTTCCGCACAAGCGTCTGAGAGAGGGGGGCGAACTGCTGGTCCTCCTCTAATCCAGCGCATGGAGGTGAGAGCTTCGCAGGCGAGAGGGAAGCCCAGCCCTCGGTCGCTGGTTGAACGGCGGAAGATTTTGCTGGGGGGGGGGTACCCGTGTCCACAAGGGGAGCAGTCCGGCTCTCGCTCGCTGGGGGAGAGGAACCTATGCCCACACTTGGCGGAGGAGCAGTCCAGTCCAGCCCTCCCTCACTGGAGGAGCTGGAACGGTGGCAGGCTTCTCTGGTGGCGATATATCTTGGTCCGCCCAGCCGCGAGGCAGTCCAGGCGGACACTCCTCCATCTCCTGCTGCAGCTCCTTCTCCGCCACCTGCTGCAGCAGCCCGGACCACATCTCCTGCAGCTGCAGCCCCGATCCGTGGCTCCCCAGCTGCAGTCCTGTCTCTGGTCCCCGTTCCTCCAGCTGCAGCCCAGCCTCCACCACCTGCTGTTGCAGCCCCACCTCCTTCCTATGCTTCAGTGGGTGCTGGTCCCAATACCCAATTCGCCAGTGCTTCAGTGGGGGT